AAATCCGCCTGTGGGAGGACATGCCCGAACTAAGCCTAGACCCTTGCGCGTGGACTGGTTTCTCATCCCGGGCCGTTTTGACGGTCCTGGGGCCCACGGAGGGTCCCTTGAGGCCGGAAATCCATCTGGCGTTGCAGTTGTTTCACAAGGGGCGGTGTCGAATGATTTCGGGTCCCGGGACCCTCACAGATTGATCGAGCTCGAAAACTGGCGCAGATAGACGGTGGCCTGGGCTCTGGTCGTGATTTTTCGCGACGTTGCTATTTTTTCGAGACGTCGGATCTCAGGGGAGGAATTGGGAGGCCTGCAGGTGTCCCCGAAGGGGGAGGCGGAGTGCAGCGGCGCTCGGCGGGCCAGCATCACCGACCGGATCTGGCCCCTGCTGCCGTTGGTGACCGAGCGGCTGGCGCTGGCGGAGATCGTGGCGGTGCGGGCTTGCAGCTCCGCCGGCCTCGAGTGGGCGATGGCACGGCGCCCGCACCGGCTCGGCGAGCTGGGGCATGTGCACGACAGGATTCGCCTGCTTCTACGCTTTCTTCTCCTACTTCTTCTCCTCCTCCTCCTCCTCCTCCTCCTCCTCCTCCTCGCTCCTCCTCCTCCTCCTCCTCCTCCTCCTCCTCCTCCTCGCTCCTCCTCCTCCTCCGCTCTCCTCCTCGCTCCTCCTCCTCCTCCTCCTCCTCCTCCTCCTCCTCCTCCTCCTCCTCCTCCTCCTCCTCCTCCTCCTCCTCCTCCTCCTCCTCCTCCTCCTCCTCCTCCTCTTCCTCCTCGAAGAACTGCTCGGGATGGCAAGACGGTCCCACGGAAGGGGTTTAATGGGAGTCGGCGCTGCGACGAAGCTTACGGCGTCGGAGGAGCCAGGTCCGCGCGGAGTTCTTGGCTCTGCCCAGGATTCGGAGCCGCCTGTGGATTCACCGGCTCTTCGTCCTCAACGAGGGTACAGCCGACGAGGCCGTCTACGAGGCCCGGGTGCGGGGCCTGGCGGACGACGCGCAGGGCCGGCGTCTGGAGGCTGAGATGGCCGAGGCGCGCCGGGACATGGAGGACCAGATCCGCAGCTTCCAGCTGGACGTGGACCGGCGCATGGACCTGCAGGCGTCGGACGGGGCCACAGGACGAGGGTGCGTCCGTTCCAGGTCGTTCCGGAACGCTGCGAGGAGGCCGCGGCGCCCGAGGCATCCTCCAGAGCCGCTGGATCTCAGGGACTCTCGACCTATCCTGACCCGAATGCATCCTCGTCCTGGCTTCGCCCGAAGGCGGGGCGCGTGCACGCCATCGTGGAGGAGCGCGTGCAGCACCAGCTGGACGCCATCCTGCACGCCGAGATGCAGAAGGTCCAGGAGATCGTGGAGGACCTCGTGCAGAGCATGGCCCGTGCGAGTGGATGGGGGGCGGGGGGGGCACGGCGAGGTCCGAGAGGGAAGATCTGGACGTCGCGCAGGCCGGGACTCGCGCACGAGCCGGGGCCCACCATGTGCACACCTCTGCGGCCCAGCGCTCGTCGAGCAGGCGGCGGCGCCGGGGCGGGGGCCCACGTGGACCCACAGGGGCCCGGGCCCCTGCCCCGGGGCTGGCCTGGCCTCCCGAATTCGTTGTTTGGCGCTCCCCGGGCCCCGGCGGAGGGGCCCCCCAGGGGCCGAAAGTGGCGGAACGCCTCCCGTGACTTCTGAGCATGCCGTGCATGACGAACAAAACAGCACACTCCCATACCCATAGGCTGAAGGGTGCCCTCGAGGACGCGAAGAATCATTCGCGCTTCGCGCTTCGCGCTTCGCGCTTCGCGGTTCGGCTCGGATTGCTTCTCATCCTCCTCTTCTCCCCTGGGAGGCGGCGCGAGAGCGCGAAGTTGTTCGCACTTCGCGCTTCGCGCAGCGCGAAGCGCGAAGCGCGAAGTTGGGGGCCCTTGCATCATACCCAAAAGAGGGACGGAGGGCGCTGTGGGTGCGTGTTGCTGGATGGGGGTCCCCGCTCGAACAGGAGCGTCCCCCAGGGTCCGACAACCCGCACCCATACCCAAAGCCAGTCCTCCCCCCTCCGATCCCCCCTATGTGTATGGGTATGGGTATGGGTGTGGGTGTGGGTATGGGTATGTGTGTGTGTGTGTGTTCTTCGTTCGTCGGTGCAAGGGAACTGGCCCGGGTCTCAGGAAAAACGGCCTACAGGGGCCGAGAACGTCAGCGAAAGCCTGCTCCTACGACCCTCGAGGGCCGAGGGCAGCGCGCTTCCATCGACTCCATAATTCATTGACACCCAGATCGGTTTTCAGTCGAATCCATCATGCAACTATTTTTTTGGTGGGGGGGAGCTTCGACGAGGAAATAAATTTTGGGGCAAAGCCACTCTGTAGCCGATCCCCTGCTCGAGCGCTCGGCAGGTCCGCGCGGTCGTGCAGGCCGAGGTCCACGCCGCCGCGCGCGAGATGCGGGCGCGCCTCGCCCGCCTCGCGCGCGAGAATGACCGCCTCCGGGCGGCCTTCCTGGAGCAGCTGGACCACTCGAGCCTGTGCCTCCGGCTCTCGGGCCGCGCCGTCGGCAAATGCACTCAGCATTCTCAGTCGATGCACGATGATTGTGTGTGTGTGTGTATTCGATGAAGGTGGTCGGTCCCCTGTTCGAAGGGCGGTGGGCCTGTGGCAGTTTCGGGCCCCTTGGGGGCACTTGCCGGGCCTGGGGCCGTCCGAAGAGCGGCGCAGAGCTGGCCCCGGAGAGAGCGTCGGGACTGCCGGGGGCCCCGTGCTGGAGACGTCGGGGCGTCGCCCGTCTGGGGCCTCCTCTCGCCGTGGAGGTGCCGTGGCGGGGGGCGTTGGCCCAGCCTTCGGCCTCGGGGGGCCCTCGCCGGGCTCGGGGCCGTCAGGGAAAGACCTATAGGACAAGGAGCTCGCCCTGGGGAAGGGGTCCAGACTTGCATCGGGCATGTCCCTCCACAGGAGGAGCCCTTGAAGATATAGTGAACAAAATGCTCAGGGGACGATTTTTCTACCATTCTGTAGAAGGACGTGTCCGACCTGAGTCCATACCTCTGGGGGTCTACGCCGTAGCAGTCACGGCGCCGGAGATCTGTGCCTCGGGTCTTCGGGCCGCGCGCAGGTTTGGCCCAGACCTCCGACGATGTGCTTCTGCCGTCTTTTTTGTGCTTCCTTCCGTCGGGGCGTCCTTCTCGCCCTCCCGCCGTGGTGAGCAGCATCACGACGGGCGGTCTTTCGCCACACATTCTCGGCCTCCGAGGGCCCTCGCCGTGCCCTGGGGCCGCGGAACGACGACTCGGGATGCCGAACCGGCCCTGGGGGAGCGAGTCCCCGGAGATCCCGGCGTGGCCATTTTGTCACAGCTGGCACTTTCGTCCAGTCTCGGGCTTTGTGGGCCCCGGAAACGGCAGGGCCGTTTTTTCACCGTTTCCGAAAAAATGTCCCTTGAAAATGGAAACGGCAAAAAAACGACGACCGGAAACGGCAACAAAACGGCTCCAGGATTGGAGCCGGAGCCGGAACCAGTCAAAAAACGGCGACGGAGCCGGTAAAAAAACGGCGTCGGTACCGGAAAAAAAACGGCAGAACGGAACCGGTAAAAAAACGGCCCTGTCGTTTCCAGGGCCCACAAGGGTCTCGGGCCCCCTGGGCCCTCGCAGGAAGCTTGCTCGGAAAACATGGGGCAGAAACGGCGGGGTCTGGAGAGCTCAGGCGTGAGTCTTCAGGATGCTGCAGCCTTTTTTCGGGCGACGACACCTGTTCGTATCCACTGCTCCCTGGCCAGGCCCATCGTGGACCCAGGAGCTGTGTATACGCCCTCCCGGCCTGGCGAGGAGGGCGTGGCGTATGAACCGCTGCTGGGTTCAGGATGGACCTGGCCAGGGAGCAGTGGATACGTATAGATCTGGTAGCCTTAAGTCGGGCCTGTCCATCTACAGGAGGAATATTCAAAACTAGGAAAACAATTGTCTGGGGACTCTTTTTGGAGTATTTTTGGGCATCTTTTGAGTATTTGTTGAATCGTTTTTATTTTTCGTCCAAAATTTCCCTGTATGGGGGACAGGCCCGACCTAACGGTAGACCTATCTTCGCTACGTCGGATCTCAGGGTCCAGATCTTCCAGGGGTCCACGAGGGACGACGTCGGAGGGCAGGTCCCCCTCGCCGGGCCCCAGAGCCCTCATAGATCAGGAGGGAAAATACACACAGACACAATGAATCGTCGATCCCTCGGAAAATCTGGGACACTATGGGAAGTGGGTGGGAAGACAAAAAGCCAGGAAACATTTTTTTCTTCCTTATATATATATATATATATATATATATATTATTATATGTGTGTGTGTGTGTGTGTGTGCGTGTGTGTGTGTGTGTGTGTGTGTGTGTGTGTGTGTGTGCGCTACGTGCTGCGTGTTGCGCGTCGGTGCGGCTAAGCTCCGATGACCTGGTCCTTCTCCGGGCCTGGGCGTGTCTCCTCGACTTTTCCGCGCCCCCAGGGCGACAGACTGGCCCCCGGGCGGCGGGTTCGTTCTCGTTCGTTTTCGTTCCGGGGCCGCGCGCCGAAAGATCAGACCGTCGGGCCCCGATCTCCGCCGACCCGATTTTTGTCGGCCTTGGCTCTTTCCTTCGGGTTTCGGCCTCCGCGGCCCGTTCTTTTGGGCCCCGGGGCCATCAAACATGACTCCAGGACGCAAGGCCACCCCCAGGGAGGGGGTCGGGACCCCTGGGGCCGCGGACCGAAAAGATCACGTCGGAGGACGTCTGGGGGCGTCTGGGGAGGGGCCCACGACCTGGGGGACTCCCGACGTGGCCACGCTCTTTTTGTGCCGTGTTCACTTCCCTGGTCTTCCGCGCTCCCCCCAAACGGTGTGCTGACCATGCGGTGTGGTGAGTCAGTGGGGATTCGGAGTGACCGCACGGCTCTGGGACTCGGGTCGTTCTCCGAGGAAGTCTCGGGCGACGGGGGCCCCCAAAGGTCCCCAAGCCCATGCGGCGACGGACCGTGCGGTGAGGTGCATCGGGGCTTCGAGGTCACCGCACTGTCTGTCGCCGCACCGTCCTGGGACCCCCACGGGCAGGGACCCGCCCAGAGGCCGAGCAGCGCCCCCCCCGGCGTGGCCCTCCCACGGCGCGATCGCGGTCCTTCGCTCCGCGCGCCACTGACTGAGGTTCCTGGTCTGGGCTCGCAGCTCCAGCGCTACCGCCGGCCTGCTCGCGCGGGTGCTGTGGGCCACCAGGCTCGCCGATTCTCAAAGCGTGTGCTGCCCCCGTGCGTGCTTACCCCGTTCTGGTCCGCCAATAGCACGCAGCCCCCCCCCGCGCCGAGCAGCAGCTCAGGATGAGAAACAGGTCCCGGGGAAGGGGTCTGGACCTCCAGGGGTCCACGATTCTGTGAAAATCACGACATCAGAGATCTGGGGCCCATGTAGTGCTGCGGTGGTCAAGCATTCGCGCCGGCACACGTTCCCAGAACTCCGACGTCGTGACTTTTGCACCGCGTGGATCCCCAGAGGTCTAGACCAATTCTCGAAGACTGGTTTTTCATCGCGTTGTTTTTTGACGGTTCTGGGGCCTGGCGAGGGCCCAGGATGGGGAAAATTGGCCCAAACCTGCCCCAGTGTTTGTTTTACAGCGAGAGGTAGTTTGGCTTTCGGGTCATATCTCGAGTGTCCGGCGGCCTTCGGAGACGATCCGGGTACCTCCAGAACGCCCTCGGCGAGGCGCAGCTGTTGGAACGCGTCCCGAGCCAGGAAAATCGAGTAGAACGAACGGGCGGAGAAGTCCAACAACCTCGAACCTCGAACTTCGAATCTCGAAAACCTTGTCGTGGTATTTTAAAAAGAAATCACACAAACATAACATTTCGACGGTCCACGCGGATTTCTTGGATTTGCGCTGTGCGGCGCTTCTGGCGCCGCCCCTGGCTCGCTCCGCGCGCAAGGAAGGGGTGTCCGACGCCTTTTCAAGAAATCCACGTGGACCTTCAACAATTTTTGTATTGTTTTTCTAGGTATTCCAAGACCGTCTTCGTCAGGCGCCGGCCTGGCGCGTGACGGATTATCGTTGGGGCTTCTCAGGTGGGGCGGTCTAGTCAGCGGTGCGCGAGCGGGGGAAGTGAGAATGATAAGGCCTTCTCAGCAGGTGGCGGGACTTCTCAGAAACCCTCGCGCCTGCTGAGAAGTTTTGCCTCAGGAAACTTTTCAGAAGACCGGGGAACTTCCGAGCCTTCTGAGAAGGCCCGCCCCTACTCGAGTAGACGTAAGAGTGACCTTTCGCCGGAGTGCCCTTTGGTGCGGGCCCAAGGGGGTCCCCCGATCGCTGAACGCGAAGTGGTAGCAGCGGCTTGCGCGCCCCGGCTTGGCCACCCGGCGTCCCCCATGAAGTCGCGCACCAGGAGGTCACTCTTGCCTAGGGTTGTGGAGGACGATCAATGGAGAGGAAGCATGTTGCCAAATAATTTCCAGGTGTCTAAAACATGTGTTAAATCTGTTTTCAAGATGGAAAAACATGTTTGACATATTCTTAGAACATGTTTTACACATTTCAAACACATCTTGGTTTCAATGATAGGATTGTCAGAGTGTCCTTTGTCATAGCAAAGCCTAGGGCCACTCTTACGTGTAGGCGACCTTCTGACATCCCCCCCGGGCCCGCCGCCGATCCAGGTGTGGGGTGGGTGGGTGGTTGTGCGGGTCATCGTCAGGCGCCGGCTCGGCGCGTGGGTCCTCGGCGTCCCGCCCGACCGGCGCGGGGAGGGCCTCCGCTCGCGCCTGGAGCCCTTCCAGCGCGCCGGCGAGGACGAGGGCGGCGAGGCCGCCGCCGCCGCCGCGGGTCTGCGACCCGCGGGCTCGGCGTGGGAGGAGGGCGATCCCCTGGACGCGGTGGCCAGGGGCAAAGTAAGGGGTTGAAGAACGAACCGCACACATCCATACCCATAGGGGGGTCGTTGGGGGGAGGACTGGTTTTGGGTGCGGGTTGTCGGGCCCTGGGGGGCGCTCCCATTCGAGCGGGGACCCCCGTCCGACAACACGCACCCATCACCCATAGCCCTCTTCGACCCCACTGTTGGTATGGGTGTGCTTTGCTCGGTCGTTATATTTTCCCACAAAGAGTCATCTATCTCTGCCTCGACCATTGGCTCGTCTGGTGTGTGTGTGTGTGTGTGTGTTCGTACCCTTAGGCCCAAGGGAGCCGCAGCAGCTGGCTCCGCGGGGCTGGCGGCCGCCCGACCGCTGGCTTGCATGGGGTGGGGCTAAAGGAGTTCCCTTCCGACACGCCCCCCCCCCCCCTCCGTGCCCATGGAGTCTCGCTCCACACTGCGCCGTCGCCAGCGGCGTGCGGCTGCTGGCAGGGCCGCTGCCGCGGCTGCCGGCGCCGCGCCGCCTGGCCTCGCGGCCGGCCGCCGAGGCGCTCCGTTGGCGCCCATGCTGCCGTTGGCTGCTCTCGCGGCGGCCGCCCCCTGCGGCGCGGCTGCGGGCGCGGCGGCCCAAGCTGGCGCTGCTGGCCTCGGGGCCACCCTCGCGCCTGGCGGCGCTGGCCCTGCGGGCGTTGCGACTGCCGCCGCGGTTGCCACGGCCCGCGCTACTGGCGCGGCCGACGGCGCTGCGGCCTCGGCGCTCGCCTGCGCCGCCTCGGCGGCTGCCGATGCTGCCGTCCCCGTGGCCGCCGAGGCCCTCCCCGGGGCCGCTCCGCCCGCCGCGGCCGCTGCGGCCTTCTCGGCGGCCCTGGCCGCCGCGTCCCTTTTGAGCGCGGATGCTGCCGCTGCCGCTGAGGCCGCTGGAGCGGCGGGGTTGGTGGCTGCTGGGGTGTCTGGAGCGGCTCGTGCTGCCGCTGCTTACCCGTCGACGGGCCGACGCGTACGGATCTCTTCTCCGAGGCTGCCGCCGCTGGCGCCGCTGCTGCCGGGGGGATCTCCGGCGACGCCGGCGCGGCAGCCTCGGCGGCGGTCGCCGGGCCGCTGTGCTCCGACGCTGCTGCCGCCTGCGCCGATGCCGCGGCCGCCTGCGAGGCGGCGGCTGCCGTCGGCCTCTGGCCGGCCGCCGCGGCTCTGGCGTGCTCTGCCGGGCTTGCCGCGCCGGCGGCCGGTGCCGCTGCTGTTGCGGCCTGGCCGCGGGTGGCGGCGGCGTGCTGGCGGCTGGGCGCCGCGGCTGCTGCCTGCCTGGGCGCTGCTGCTGCTGGTGCTGGCCTCGCTTCGGCCGCCGCCGCCGTTGCCGCCGCCGCGGCCGCCTCTCGCGGGCCGTTGGCCCCGGCCGCCGCGGCTGGCATCGCGGTCGCCACGGCCCTCCTCCCCGCTGACGGTGGGCCCGCCCTGGCCGCTGCTACTGCCGCCGCCGCGGCTGCCGCTGCCGCTGCCGCTGCCGCTGCCGGCTCCCTGCTGGCGGTGGCGGCGGCGGATGGCGTGCTGGCTGGCGTCGCGGCGGCCTCTGGATCGCCGCCGGCGTGCTCAGGAGACGCTCGGTGCGAAGCTGGGGCCCACCATCGTCTGCTCCAGCACCCCGGCCAACGCGTGCGAGAAGGACAGGCAGGGACATGGGCAGCCGGCCCTCGAGCTGCTCAGCGACATGCTGGGATTCAAGCTTGAGACTGCCCTCATCTGCAACAGCACCCCGATCAGCATGTGTGAGACGAACGTGCGCAGCGAGATGCTGGCTGTGAAGCTGGGACCCACCATCATCTGCTACAGCGCCCCGATCATTGCGTGCAAGACGGACTGGCATGGGCAGTGGCAGCTGGCCCTCGCGCCGCTCCGAAATACGGTGGGAGTGGAGCTGGAGCCCACCATCATCTGCTCTAGCACCCTGATCAGTGCGTGCGAGAAGGAGAGGCAGGGGCAGTGGCCGCCAGCCCTGGCGCTGTGCAACGGGATGTTGGGTGTGAAGCTGGAGCCCGCCATCATCTGCTGCAGCGCCCCTATCAGCGCGTGCGAGAAGGGGCAGTGACAGCCAGCCCTGTCAGTGGCGGCTCGGTCAAGGAGGGCATGGAGGTGCAGGGAGACGTCGACGACGAGGTGAAGGAGGTCGCGGAGGCGGGCGTCGGAAGGAGTTCGGGGAGGAGGTGGTGGAGGTCAGGAAGGCTTCCGACGACACGTGCGATGAGGATTGTGAGGGGGGGGCGAGGAGGTGACCATGGAGGAGGAGGAGGAGGAGGAGAAGGAGGAGGAGGAGGAGGAGGAGGAGGGGGGGGAGGAGGAGGGGGGCGTCGAGATGAAAGATGCCGTCGAAGTGGTCCTGGAGGTGGGCGTCGACGGGGGGATCGAGGAGGCGGTCCTGGATGCGCGCGCCAATCCTGACGATGCTACGCCGCCCATCTTGTCGACCCTGCATCGCCAATCCTTTCGATCCCATGGGGGCCATGCCCACTAATCTCTGGGCGATGCGGGGTGCAGGGAAACCCTTGTGGAGCCAGGGCGGCAAGCCCTAGACCCGCCGATGCCTCCTTTCCGTTCACGTGGAGTCCCCGCCCCATCACAAGCGGATAAGGACGAGACGGATGACTTTCAGAGCTCTGAGAGGGACGAGGAGGAAAGATATCTCGAGCCACATTACTCCGGCCCAGACCCAGAGGAGCAGGGCGAGCTTGCCCTTCGCCGCCCTGCTGCCAAGGGTCGCTTGCGCCGCCGCGGTCTGCGTCGCCCGACCGCGACAGTCTTGGGCCCGGTCGAGCACTGCGGCGGGCGGGCGGGCGCATGAGGGCGGAGAGAGCCCCGCGAGCGAACTGGTCGAACGCTCCCGGTGGGCGGGCCACGACGGCGGCGCCGTCGTTTCCCCGACTGGTGCGGGCGCTCCGGCAAGTTCGCTGGCGCCCTCCTGGCCCGCGCCGGTCAGTGAGGCCATGGGGCCGCCGCCCCGGCCCGAGGAAGCAGAGGGCCTGCTTCCAGCGGGCCCAGGCGTGCACGGCCGCCCCTCGCGCTCGGACAGCGCGGCCGCGGTCGGCGTCGATGCGCGATCAGAGGTCCAGAGTTCTCCCGCGCTGGCTGTCTTGCCGACTGCGTCGCGGACGGCGGACTGGCAACCGGCGCTGCAAGCGGCAGTGGCAGCTACGCACGACGGGCGCGTGCTTTCCGCCAGTCCTCCACCGATCATGGCCCACGCGCCCGCTGCGGAGGCGCCGTGTTGGTACAGACCTCGACTCGCCTGGCTGGGGTGACGTCTGGCTCATGGTCAAGAAGGCGTGGGCTGATTCCCCGTGAACTCGCGAACGCTGGGGTCACTTAACCTGGGACTATGGAAAAAATGGACGGGGCGAGCTCGCCCAGAAATGGTCCCACGACAGGTCGCGATCGACTTCTTTTGCTCCCTACCAATGCTCGGGCGGCAACCGGCTGACGCTTGCGCCGCGGCAGCCTTGGCAGACCCGACTGACCAGCCCAAAGAAGCCGTGGGCCATGACTCGGTCGAATACTTGGCTGGCCAGGAGGGTCAGCTCATGGCCCGTATCGAGCGGCTGGGGGGCCAGAGCAAGATCGTTTGGACAGCCCACAGCGCGCAGTTTGGCGGCGACATGCTGGGCCCGCGGTGGCGTGGCGTGAGCTTCCTGCGCGGTTTCCTTGTAGAGTGTGAGATATGACGCCCGAGTCGCCGGCAGGGAACTGCCGCGCAGTCGTTCGGCCAGGCGTTTTTGGCCCTTTCACACGCCGATCAGTCGCTCATGTCACACGCCAGTGCCGCCTGGTTTGCTCCGTTGCTCACCGTCTAGTGACTCTGGGCGCGCCGGTCGTCGCATCGTGGTCTTGCCGTGATTCACCTGTGTTTCATTCGCCTTTGTTCGCCTCTCCCGGCCTTTGGTCTGCGGCGTTGTGTTTTTGTCGGAGGTGGCGTGGCCCTCCCGCCACTCTCTGGCGGCGCTTCCCTCCGCGGCGGTTCGTCGGTCCCTCCTTCCCCTCTTGGGTCGCGGGGTTCGCTCGGTCGTCGCCGTTGGTCGTGAGCTCGGCCGCGTCGTGGGGTCCTCCGCCGTCGTCTCTCCGGGTTCCTCTCCTGCCTCTGCCCGTGCTTGCTCTCTCCCCCCTTTGCCCCTTCTTCCAGGTCGTCCCCGCCGCGGGGGATTGAGCCTCGTCCGCGTGCATGCCTGGCGGTCGCTGCGGGCCGGCGTGGTGCGCTTCTCTTGATGTGTTTGTTCCAAGCTTTGTGCAGCATGCTGGTTTCGCAGGCAATATCGGGTTCGCGCCGTGAGGGGGGAGTCAGAGAACCCACCCTGTAACCTCAGTAGACAATTCGGCCATCCTGCCAGCGTCTCATGTGTACTTGTACTTGCGCTCGTGAACATGATGGCTCAAGTTCTGCCATCCATCTTCCCGCCACTGTCCTTGGCCTGTACAGGAAAACGAAAGAGGTCCAGCTAGCGGATTTTACTTGTATCTTGTGCTGGTCTCGCCTGCTCGGTTTCTGTTCTGTCCTTCCTCCTCCTCCTCTCCTCCCCCTCCTCCTGTTTCCTCTCTGTCTCTCTTTGCGTCGGCCTCATTGCTGGTACAGAACGGTCCCCTTGGGATGTGCGTGCCACTGCAGGGCCACCCTTGCGGGCTTTTTTGGGGTTGGTTTCACTTTTGGTGCCCAACCACACCCCCGCCGCGTTGCCGCCTCCCGTCTGTATGTTCGGGATGCTGCGTGAGCCTGGGTGGCGGGGGCTGCGGGTCGATCCGTGCAGGAGATCGACCGAACCTCGCGCGAACCGCTGATCCCACAACCGCTGTCGCCAAAGCCCCTGCCGCTTTTCATTACTCTGGCAGTTTTGTCGTGGCGCCTGGAGCTCTCTCTCCTGGCGTCGTCGTCTTTGGGGGCCTTCCTGGCTGCTCGCGCTTGGTCGGGGTTGCTGGCGCCGTGTGGTCGGGCCTCCTGGGGCGGTCCCCTCGCGTTTGCCACCGCCGATGTCAAATTGCATGTGATGCTTTAGGCTCGGCTCGTAGGCTCCACAGCTGGGTCGTCCGCGAGCCTCGCGTCGCCTCTGTGTTGTCCGAGACGTCCTTGGTCGATTTGGTGGCGACCTAGACGTCGGTACTGTACCTCGTGTCTTGATTCATTTTGCTTGAACGGCGTCAGCCAATTTTGATCGGTCGGCGCCTCTATTGCAGCCTGTTTTCGGCCAGCCTGGACGTGTCACTGACGCTGGCTCCTGTTGGTGGCGTGGTTACCCGCCAAGGTTTTACGGCATGACGAATTATATTGTCGCCGCGTTTCGCGTCTGCTGCTCGCGGTCGCCCGCGTTTGGCTCGGTGGTTTGAGGTGTGCTTGTTTCGCCTTGCTTGTCTCACGCCGACCTGATGCACGCTTTTGCTCACTCGCTCTTTCCGGTACATGCTTGCTTCAGATCGGTGGCGGTGCTTCGCTGCGCAGAATCCCTGCGTGTATGCACCGCCCCATGTTGGCTGGTCTGGCACCCTTGGAGTTATTTTTGTTGCTGGCCCTTTGAGGCTTCAATTCGCACCAGACTGCTGCTTGCGTTTCAGACTACCCGCCTTGAGCTTATGTTCCTCGTTTTTTTTGTCGCTGCACCTTGGCTTTGCAACGCCTCTCGTTTTTCACCACCTCATCATACCCTGCATGGCCATATCTGGACTGTCATATCATGGCGCGTTCGACTAGATTCGCTCGCGATTGGCACCTCTACCTGCCGACAGCGCCTGGGGCTCTTCTGCGCCGCCGACTCACAAGTGTGTGTGTGTGTGTGTGTGTGTCGCCATCACGTGAGAAAGCTGCCACGACGGGCCTGCGTCGGTTCAGCTGAATCATGGCTGTGAGCCGACGGCTGTTAGCCGATGGTAGCTTCAGGGGCAGCGTTCGGGGTTTTTGGGCGTCTTCGGAGGTTCTCGGCGGCTTCAAGCCTCGGGATGCCTTCAGCAGCTGCGCTGCGCCGGGAGCGTTCCAAGGGCGCCCGGATCATCCCGAGCGGCCGCCGGAGAGCCGAGTTACGACCCGAAGGCCACGGGCAACGCCAGGAGGGGATACAGTCGGGGCGCGGAAGAAGGAACCCTTTTCGTTGGGGAGGGGCTCGGTGTTCCTTGATTGTTTCACATTTTGCCGCAGGTTTTCCTTAGGTTTTCGATGGGACGTCGAAGTTTCACTTCTGGAGAAAAGGGGCCTCGTTCCTTATTTTGGGTTCCTTAGGTCAACGCCCCGACGGTAGGACCAGGGAGGGACGCATGCACCCCCACCCGCCATCGTATGGGTCGCCGAGAGGGGCTCGATCGCCCACTCCAGTCAGGAACGTGCGGGTTCGCCATTGGGGGCCTGTCGCCGATCCGTCGGCGAGGTATCGCTGATTCCAGCTCGAGGTTCCCCCCTCCTCCCTCGCCTGAGCTGCTCCTCCCCTGGCCCCGTCTGACAAAAACGACGGCGGCCGGGTCGTGGCAATTCTCGGCCTCCAGGGGCGCCGAGACGATTGGGGACGAAAAGCCGGTCTTGGGGGAGCGGTCCTGACCTCAAAGGGGTCCGTGACGGAGTCTCTCGGAAAGACAAATACCGGCTTGGGAGGATCGGGTTGGGAGACATGACCGTATCGTCAATAGTACCGCGTATGTCGTACCCTGTATCTTCCCAGCCCCATCCTCTCAACACGATGGTTGTCGTCCTCGGGTGTTCTCCGCCCGCGAGGTTGCCGCGATCGCGGTGCTGTGTAGCGCGATGCGCGCGCGGCAGGCGCGCCAGCAGCAGGCCCAGACGTCCAGCAGCGGCGGGGGCGGCGGCGCAGCAGGGGGAGCAGGCGGGGGCGCGGGTGAGCCAGGCAGCGGGCTCGGCCTCGCCGTGGACCCCGCGGGCGAGGGTGACGCAGGCGGCTCAGCCTGGGGGGCAGAGTGGATGGGGTCGGAGGGATGTCCGACGACATGTTTTTCCAAACCCTCCTGTGTTGGGTTCTTGTCTTGAATAGAGTGCGCTGCGGTGTCCACTCCTTCTCCCGCCCGCCTCGTCCTCCTTCCTGCCTCCTACTTCCTGCCTCCTACTTCTTCCTCCCTCCTACTTCTTCGCGTGCTCCTGGGAGGCATGGCGGAGTAGCGGAGTAAACAGACCCAGACGGGACTTCGCAGCCTCCCAGGGGGCTGAGAACTGCGCAACTGCCGCCACTTTTGTGGGCTCCTGGGAGGCCCAGCGGAGTGTGAGAGTAAGCAGATCCAGCCGAGACCTCGCGGCTCCCTGGGGGGCTCGAACTTCGCTTGGCCTCCAGGGAGTACGCAGGTTCAGCCGAGACCTCGCTGCTCCTTGGGGGTCTGCAAACTGCGCAATTGTAGCCACTTTCGTTGGCTCCTGGGAGGCACGGCGGAATGGGGGAGTACTAGTACGCAGATCCAGGCAAGACCTTGCGGTCCCGTGGGTGGCTGCGAACTGCGCCACTGTCGCCACTTTCGTAGGCTGCTGGGAGGCACGGCGGAGTGGGGGAGTACGCAGATCCAGCCGAGACCTCGCGGCTCCCTGGGGGGCTGCGAACTGCGCAACTGCTGCAACTTTCGTGGGTTCCTGGGAGGCGCGGCGGAGCAGTGGAGTACGCGCATCCAGACGAGACCTCGCAGCTCTCTGAGTGGCTGCGAATTGCGGAAGTGTCGTCAGTTTCGTGGGCTCCTGGGAGATGGCGGAGTCGGGGGCCACGCGGATCCAGCCGAGACCTTGCTGCTCCTTGGGTGGCTGCGAACTGCGCCACTGTCGCCACTTTCGTAGGCTCGTGGGAGGCACGGCGGAGATGAGGGCAGCGCAGATCGTGCATATCTGGCGAGCGCAGATCGTGCATATCTGGCGATGTGTTCTTTTGTATGGGGCGTTCATGCAATGATTCGCCTCGCGTAGAGAAGGGCTTGGGTACGTCTCGGGTCATTCTGTTCAAATTGTATTTTCGCTTCGATTTCGGCCCTCGGGGGACCTTTCCGAGCCCTGGGACCATCAAGCGTACATCCAGGACGAAAACTCTCCCCTGGGATGGGAAGCGGTCGCGACCTTTGGGGTCGCGGATTGCAGACATAAGAACGGCGGAGATCCGGGCTCTCGTTGCGCGAACAAAAAAATCACAACGGGAGGTTCTGGGCAGTCTCTGGCCTCCGGGGGCCCTTCCTGGGCCCCCAGGACTGTGTCGATGATGACGCAGGATCAGAGACTGGTCTGGGGAGGTTTTGGGCAGTCTTGGGCCTCTGGGGGCCCTTGCTGGGCCCCCAGGACTGTCGATAATGACGCGGGATCAGAGATTGGTCTGGGGCAAGGGGTCCAGATCTCTGCGGGTCCACGCTGTGAAACAAATGCGACATCGGAGGAGGAGGAGGAGGAGGAGGAGGAGGAGGAGGACACGCTGCGAAACACATGCGACACCGGGGGTTCAGGGGTCGTACCGCATCGCCGATGCACAGGCGATGTGGCGCGATCCGGGGCCCGACTTTATCCCGGCGTTGCCAGCGCGTCGCTGATGCCTCGGCGGTGTGGTGCGATCTTCCGCCGACTCCCTCTGCTTCGACAGAATTTGGGCGGCCTCCAGGTGAGGACGGGGACGTGGAGGACCGAGGGACAACAAGACGGCGATAACACAACCTCTCGGAGGTCCGCGCTGATCGGCTGGGCCAGCGCTGGGCCCCCTTCCTGGCAGCGCCCGAAGCGCCAGAGTTTTGGGGGTCCAGCGACGATCCAGGACATCCGCGCGTACTCTCGAACGCTGAGGCCGCCAGACATCTTACGATATGTTTGTTTTCTCCATCCGCGGCCCCAGAACTCCCGACACCTCCTCCAGGGCCAGTGTTGTGCCCCGGGCCCATTCTTGGTGGCCCCGGAGCCCGAAGACGGCCACCCGCGGCCGAAACGAAGGAAAAGCTCGGCGAAGGAGACCGCGGTCCAGCGCCGACTCGAGAGATCCGTGCGGACCTCCGAACAACTGCGGGCATGGTGTGCCGTCCCCCCGTCGCTTCTCCAGGAGCCGAGGCCGGCCGTGCGGGAGGATCCGCGGGCGGCCGCGCCCGACGATGCGCGCCCACTCGCAGAGTGGGCCCCGCTCGAGGAGGACGTCGCCGAAGCCGTGGGCCCCGCCGAGCAGGACGGCGCGGTGCACGGCCAGATGCCGTGCACGGCGGCGGCGGCGGCGGCGGCGGGGACGACGGCTCGGAGTGGTCTGGGCGCTCCTGGGAGTTTCGTCGCCACGGCCGGGCGCCGCACGACAAGCTGGCCAGCCGTACCAGCAGCACGGAGGAGGAGGAGGAGGAGGAGGAGGGGGAGGAGGGGGAGGAGGAGGAGGAGGAGGAGGAGGAGGACGAGGAGGACGAGGAGGAGGAGGAGGAGGAGGAGGAGGAGGAGGAGGAGGAGGAGGAGGAGGAGGAGGAGGAGGACGAGGAGGAGGAGGAGGGGGAGGGGGAGGCGAGACGTGGGGCGAGTGGGAGAGTGAGTTGAAGGTGGTGCAGGAGGACCCAGACCTCCGACGCGCCGTGTTTTTTTTTTCTCGCCGCGTGGACCGGCTCTTCATCCCGAGTCGTGCTCCCACGGCCCTGGGGCCCAACGAGGACCCCTCTGAGACCGAGAACTGACGAAGACCCTATGCGCACAGCGAGAGTGTCCTTCCCCGTCGTTTTTTTTTTTTTTTTTTTTTTTGTATATCTTGTTGTTTTCTTGATTTTTTTGTTTCGCGACGCGAGGAGCGTCGGGGTGCGTGAGACGGTGCCCTCTCGGCCGAACGGGCGGTCTTCTCAAGACAGGCCGCATGCTGGGCCTGCCGCGACGCCCTGGCACCCGGTCGGGCGAGAGGCGCCTCGCTCGCGGCCTCTGGCTGCAGGCAGCAGGCTTCAGACGACGCTCGAGGGAAAGCAAGCACTGCATAAGCATGTACTTTTTCGGGTCCTCGCCGGGATCCCCCTGGCGCGGGCCCAGTACCGATTAGAGAAGCCCGCGCGGGTCTGCGAACGTCTGCGTACGTTTCTCATGCTCTTCCCTCTTCTGTAGGAGGCCTGGGACGACGCCGTCGCAGCCCGTGCGAAATCGAAGCGAGCTCGGTACATCGGGCAGCATAGCGGAACAGGAGCTGCAAAGTTCAAAATGACCACTCCCGGCGGTTGGCTTAGCCATCCGCCGCAGGGCGATTTCGTGCGTGGCAGTACTCGGGAGCACTGCCAGCGAGGCCAGACACCCCTCACAAGCCTTCCTTGCTCGCGGAACTCAGGTCCGCGAGGTGTGCCGATCAGGATGCACCCAATGACAGCCTTCCCAGTAGGAGTCGTGACCGCACCCCCCGATGCGGCGAGGACTACATCGGTGCTCCGAAAGTTTATTCCGAGTTGAAAGGCACGGCGCCGCGCGAATGCAGCGCAAACGCAATGCTGGAAGGGCGCGACAATGCATGCCCCCTGGACACGCGAGAGCAGCCGCGCCCCCGCGCGAACCCTGATCCCGCGCGGGGCGCGTTCCCGTTGACAATGGCTCACCCGGGACACAGTTTCTTGCGCAGGAAGTCCTGAGCGGTCTGCCCACCAGCGGCTCCTTAGGACGAGGCCCGGAACCACCGAGAAACCGTTTTTGATAGGAAGTTCTAGGCGGTTTGCCCATGCTCGGTTTCTTCGGAGCGGGCCCGAAGACCTCGAGAACGATGTTTTTGCAAGGAGTCCTAGGCGGTTTGCACATGTTCGGGTCGTTCGAACTGGACCCGATTTTGTTTTTGGGCGCAAGTTCTATGGGATTAGGCCACTTTCAGGTCGGCCGATAAACTTTTCGGGTCGGTGCATGACCGACCCGAAAGCTTCTTTCGAGGAGGTCCTATGCCGTTTGCTCATTTTCGGGTCAGTACACCGTTTGGGATTTTAAATTTTTTAATTTGGAAGGGGAGCCCGATCCTGCGACCCCGGGCGGGGGTTAGGCTCTGCCCTTGCATTGTACTGGGCCCCTCCGGCCAAACGGGCCGCTGGGCTGCCCATCGGCGCGCCGACTTTGCCCTCGTGACATCGCCACCATCCGCCCTCGGGCCCCGCGAGTCCTGTTCCGCGCGCGCCACCCCAGACGGCCGCGGCCGGCACGGTGGCGAAATTGGGGAAACTTTCGGATCGGCGCAGTATACAGTCAGAACACTAGGCCTACACTCCCTGGGTCGGCTGCCACGGACCGCCGTCACGGCACACTTGCGTCTGCTGGAGGCCCCTTCTACCTCCTTGGCCTTGATGCCCTCCGCCGCCTCCGGGGAAAGACGGCCGTCGACAGATACTGCCAGCATCAAGTTACCCCTGGCCGCCCCGAGGAGGCTTGCAGCGTAGCGTCCCAGGCCCCTTCGCGTTGTGATCGAAAATCGCGACGGGTGGCAATTTTCCGACTCCTAGAGCCCTCTTTTGGCTCTGGGACGGTCAAAACGCGACTCGGGATGAAAGACTGGTCCCAGGGGAAGCAGTCCTGATCTCCGGGGGTCCACTCGGGGAACAAATTACGACGTCGGAGAAAATCACGATGACCATGACCAATACATCGCGGGATCTCGTCAACGCCAACCTTGGTCGTGGTCCATGCCTGCCGCAGCTGATCCCAAAGGTTGACTCACGAATTGACGATGACCGAGATGGACGATAACCAAAACCTACACGGACGTTTCCGCGCTCAGTCCTGGTCATGTGACGGCCTCCGCCGTGGGGATTTTTTCGCAGCGTGGGCCCCTGGAGGCCTGGACCTCTTCCGCAGTACCAGTTCTTCATCCCGAGCTGCTCTTTGAGCGTGCCGGGGCCTGGCGAGGGTCTTGGGTGGCCCAAAATCACCCAAAACCTCCCGTCGTGATCTGTCCGCAACGAGTAGGTGGTGGTGGTGGCAATCGTCTTCTTCCCCTCCGTCCCCAGCACGGGCTCCGCCTGTTCAGGGCTGGACCGGCGCGGCCTCCGAGAGCGACCAGGATAGTCCACGCGCACGGAGTGACCCTTCGCCTGAGGGACCTCTGGTGCGGATCCCTGCAGGGCCCCCCCCAGCATTGGCTTGCATGCTGGGATCCGGCCAGTCCCAAGGCGCCCTGGAGCCGCGCACCAAAGGTTACTTTTGCCCAGGGTCGCTCCTGTCAGTATCGTCTGACCGATCCCCATCCCTACTTGGCCAGTGTATCTCAGCCCCACCAGCCCACCCTCCCAGGTGGGGATAGGCCCCGAGACCCGAAGGAATGGGCATGTATCCCCACGTAGGCGGGTAAGTCGGCCAGTGGGGCCAAGGCCACGCCAGTAGGGATAGGGATCGGTTCAACGATGCTCATCTTGCCGATTCATTCGCAACGTGGACCCCCACAGGTCTAGACCCCTCCTCAGGGCTAGTTTTTCCTCCCGAGTCGTGTTTCGGGGATCCCAGGGCCCCGGTGAGAGCCCCCGGAGGCGGAAAATGGCCAAAAACCTCCCGTCGTGATCTTTTTCCAGACGAGATGGGTAGGGGGGGGGATCCCTCCCTGTTGCCGGAAACCGAGAGGAGTTCCACGACGCCCGGGAGGACGCGGACTGAGGACGAGGGTGCGGCCCGGACTCGCCGGCGGCGCCGGCGTGGGCGAGCGCCGTAGGTCGTTGGCTCAAGGGTGGGGCCCTGAGGGATGGGGAGGAGGAGGAAGAAGATGATGCTGATGCTGATGATGATGATGATGATGATGATGATGATGATGATGATGATGCTGATGCTGACGATGATGATGGTGATGATGATGAAGATGATGGTGGTGACGATGACGATGACGATGATGCTGATATTGATGATGCTGATGATGATGGTGATGATGCTGCTGATGATGAGGATCAGGATGATGATGATGCTCATGAGGATGATGCTGATGTCGATGATGATGCTGATGATGCTGATACATCTTCTGCTGATAAAGCTGATGATGATGATGCTGATACTGATGCTTATGATGACGATGCTGATGATGGTGGTGATGATGATGATGCAGATGATGCAGATGATGATGATGATGATGATGATGATGATGATGATGCTGATGCTGATGCTGTCGATGCTGATGACGCTGCTGCTGCTGATGATGATAATCATAATGAGGAAGATGACGATGATGCTGATGATGGTGGTGATGAGGATGCGGACGATGACGATAATGATGACGATGGTAACATCATAATGATGATGATGAGGATGATAATGATGATGATGGTGATGGTGACGATGATGTTGATGACGATGGTGCTGATGATGACGCTGCTGCTTATGATGATAACAGTGATGACGATGCTGGTGGCGATGATGATGACATGATGATATGATGATGAGGCTCATGATGATGGTTCTGATGACGCTGATGATGGTGATGATCTGATGATATGATGATGATGATGAGGATGATGGCAATCATGATGCTGACGATGATGATGATCGTGATGCTGATGATGATGCTGAAATGCTGCTGCTGATGATGATGCTGATGATGTTTATACAGTTGCTGATGATGCTGATGATGCTGCTGCTGCTGCTGCTGATGATGATGATGATGATGATGATGATGATGATGATGATGATGATGCGGATGTTGATGATGATGATGATGATGATGATGATGATGATGCTGATGAAAATGCAGATGATGACGATGATGCTGATGATGCTGCTGCTGACGAATATGTTACTGATGACGATGATGGTGATGAGGACGCTGATAATAATGCTAAGAATGCTTCATCAACTTGTCGAGTTATCATGTTCGCTTGGGTCTCCCACTTCTGGTTCGCTTGAGTTATCATGTTTGCTTCAGATATAATCGATGACCCGTTCTAGTCGGTCGGAAGAGACCAAAGGTCATTGGCAAACCAGTGCTCTTTTGCAGTCGGCTCGGAGAGGAAAAAGGGCACCGGACAGACTACTTATGTAGAGTCGTTTTCTTTGCGCGAATCCATTGATCACTGCACGGATTTGGCCGGTGACCTTCCCTAGTCGGCCGAAAGGGGAAACAGGTTACTGGCGGACCGGTGCCCTTTTGTAGTCGGCTCGAAGGTAAAAAAGGGCACTGGGCAGACTTTGCATGATTGTCGCGATTACCAGAGCCTCCTGATTCTGTGACTCTTGGTTCAAGATTCTTTCCCTGGCGACTTGGGTTCCGAGTCCAGCCGCGGATGCAAGCCGCCCTCGGCTGGGTCACCGGCGTCCTGGCGGAGCGGCCCTGGGGCAGGGGCGGAGATTCCCACACCACCTGCCACTGCGAGTTCGGCGGGCCCGAGCCCGGCAGCGGGGTCCTCGAGGTCCTCCGCGAGCAGCTCGGGCGGTGCGGGCCTGAGCAATTGCAGGCGGTGCCCTGCCCGACGTGTCCAGTCTGCCTCTCCTGCCCAGAGGGGACGTCCCCTTTCCTCCTCGCGAACCTCGATGGCGCTGAGTTGGTGGGTGTGCGCCTCCAGGGGACCGGCACTGGCCGACGAGAAGCGGGCGAGCGAACAACGGGACAAGGTCCTGTCTCACCTTCGGGTGCGGCGAGCTCTTACGCTCCAGGGGCACGACCAGGTAAGAGATGGCTTTGAGACATGGTGAAGTGGTGCTGGTCCATTATGCCGAGGACGTTTGGCATGAAAGTTGGTCTTGTTTCACATACAAGGCGCCGAGTATGTGGTGTGCTCGCCAGATTACGACACCTTTGTGGAACAGTTGGTCGCTCAGAACCCATGCCTCACAGGCATCCGATTCCCGGCGGCGCAAGGCGCGGCCGTCATGGGGGTCGGACGGGTATGCGCGTTCCCCCCCTGGCCGACCCACGCCCAGCAGCTGCAGCTCCTCGCTGAAGGGCAACAGGTCGGGGCGGCCGAGCTCACGGCGTGAGGGCTTTCAGCCGTGGCGCCTGGCGCGCCTGCAGCGGGAGGCGCTGGCGCCGCGCCCGCGGGCGTCTTGCCGCCAGGCGGCCCCCCGCGGCCGCGGCTGGCGCTGCAGCGGCGCCCGCGGCGCCCGCGGCCGCCGTGGCGACCCCCTCCGTGCCGCAGGATCGCTGGGGCTTGGGGCGCGTGGGTGCTGGACGAGGCTGCCGCTGGCTTCAGCATCGGTTTTGAAGTGCAGGCGCCCGCCCGGCTGCGCGTCGTCGATTCCCGGGCCTTCCTGCGGTTCAACGGGCGGGCGCTCGCCTTCGGCTGCTGGCGGTGGGGACCGACGTCGATCGGTGCGCGATGCAGCGGCAGACCGAGCTGGCCATCGACCGCCGCACCATCTCTGTCGACGCATCGGGGAGGCCCCGCGCCTTTGCGGAGTGCGCCTCCGAGATCGTCGAGGGCCCCGACGTGAGGCACTCGCTATCCGGGCCGCGCACTAGCGGGTACCTCGTCCAGAGGGCGGCGCGCGGGGGCGGGGGAGGCCTCGTGCGTGAGCGCGACCAGTGGGTTGCAGAGTCAGGTGCCGAGCCTCCCGACCGCTCGGTGTACGAGCATCAGGTCCTGTCGAAGGCGCTGCACATCGGCGCTGCCGAGGACGGGCTCAGCCTCAAGAACCTGGGCACGGCGGAGCTGCTCTTCAGGTGGGCGCATTTTATTGGGGAGTTGCACGCGGGGAACCCGCAAAACCCGAGTTCTCGCGGTTGGGGGCACTACCTTGGCATCGAGGAGCGGAAGGGTGGCGCTGGCATGGCGCGCGTGGCCGGCGAGGTGGGCAAGCAGGCCGCTATCGACAAGGGAAAACACAAAGTGCGACGAGCAAAGAGTGGCGGAAGGTCCAGAAATGGCGATTTCGCCAATGAGTCATCAAGAGGAGACGCGGGGCTGAGAATGATATGGTCCGTGGCGGGCCCAGTGCCCGCTAATGGTGACCGCTGGGCCTGTTTGCGCGCTTGCGGGACTTGAAGGACATCGCTCGCCCTCGCCGAGGCCCGAGCAAGACCCTGTCAGCCTCGTCCAGGCGATCTCGTTCCCGTGCCGCCGGTCCCGCGGGCTGCTCCGCCCGGGCCGCCTGGGCGGTCGCGCGTTGCAGCTCGGCGCTCTGGGCGCCGCGCGGCAGTTTGGAGGGGCTCTGGCGCGGCCGTGGAGGCGCTGGGCGCCTCGCGCGGCTGCGAGGCGACGCCTGACATCGCCGTCAACGATGCGCAGGCGGCGGCTCACAGGCGCATCCTTCGGACGATCTCGTCGGCCACATCTTCGATGGAGCTTCTCGAGGAAGCTTCGCGGGAGCTTCTCGGTCGTCGACTTGATTGACGCGGTGGCGTCAGTGCAGTGGTGCCGTGCGATGGCTTGAAGATCTCGCTGCCCGACGGCTCGCCGCCTCCGGTGCCGCTCGCGGACGCCCCCCCGCTTCAGTTCAGCGAGGTGGTTCGCAATTTCGAGGACTTGATGCTCTCGGACAGGCCAGAGGGCGACAGGAAGGCCGAGCGGGCCCGGGGCGCCCCCTACTTCCACGAGGGGCTCAGGGCCGACCGTTTCCTCTACATATCCTTCCTTGCCCGCGTGGCTGCCGCGGGATTGGTCGAAGTCTTGCGCGGCATGTTGGGCAGCTGCCACCCCTTCCTCGTCAAGAAAGAGAAAGAACAAGCAGCGTCTGGCGCTCGACAGCCGCGTGGCCGGCCCCGACTTCAGGAGGTCTCCCGGGGTGGAGACCGAGGCCGCTGAGAACCTCGCCCAGCTGGAGGCCCCGGAGGGCGAGGCGTTGTGCGCGGCTCAGGCCGACGTGAGGAATTGCTTCTACCAGTGCGGCCTCAGCCCGGAGCTGTCGGCCCACTTCGTGATGCAGCGCGTCTCGAGGAGCGAGGCCGCCTCGATCGGGTTCGAGGTGGGCGTCTGGGGCGACGACCTCGACTGCGCCGATTGGGCGCCCCCGGCGCTGACGCTTGCCCGCGCGGGCTGGGCCTGGGCACTCTGGCAGGTCCAGCAGGTCGCGTTGGCATCCTCCGGCAGGTTGGTGTCGCAGCCGGGCAAGCGGTGGTGGGCTCCTGGCCCGTGCCTCCCCTGGGCGCCGACCCGATCGCTTTGCCGTGCTGCGACAATGTCGCGGCGTTCGGGCGTTCGGCGGATAAGGTCTTGGGCGCGCGGGGCCGCGCCCTGATGTGCTTCCAGGGCGCCGGGTTCCAGATGTGCGACGTCGCCGAGGCCGAGCCGCTGGGGGCTGTCCTGGGGGCCTTGGTCGGGGGCGAGCCTGCGATCGCACGGCGGAGCATCGACCGCGCGTGGCTCATCAGACGGGTCCTGCTCTGGTTGGCCTCCCAGGAGCGGGCCTCAGGAGAGCGGGTCGAGGCGCTCATCGGACATTTCGTCTCGGCGGCCATCTTCTTTCGGCCAGCTCTCAGTATTCCCCGGTCCTGCTGCGAGCTCATCGGGGCCGCAGCAAAATGCCGCCTCGATCTGTGGTCTTCCGTTAGGTATGAGATGTGGCCCATGGCGGCCGCCCCCCCCGTTCTCTCGCCCGACATGTCCATGGGCCGGGCTGGCGAAGTCTGGGCCACGGACGCGCGCGAGTCCGGGCGCGGGGCCTGCGCGAGGCTTCTCTCCATGGAGGTCGGGGGCATCGGGGGGCGGGGCGAGACGTGGAGATTTCGACGCCTGCGACCGTCTGAATGGGCCCCTCGTGCCCGGGCTCTAGATGAACTTGGCACTGTGATTGATCGTCGCGCTGTCGACCCAGGCACGGGCGGGTCCGCGCCTTCAGGCGGGCGCTGGGTGAGGCGCGAAGGGCCCCCGAAGGTCCCTATCGAGGTTTGCCGGAAGGCCCTTCGGAATGCTGTTTATGCGGGGATGTTTCGCTACCGCGAGTACATCGGCATCCTGGAAGGGAGGGCCTCCCGGCGGGCCTTGCGCACTATTGCTCGCTATCCTGAATGTCGCGGGCCCGTGGGCTATTCCTGGTCAGCGCGGGCTCGCGCTGGCCCTCGCGAAAGGCGTGGCCGCGAGCTTTGGGTTCTTGCAGATCTGTCGCCGTTGCGCAGCCATTCAATTCGCGGCCAACCTGATGTGTTCGGCGCGCTGGGTCCCGTCAGAGTGGAACCCGAGCGATGAGCCATCCCGCCTCTTCGAGCGGGCTGCTGCTGCGAGTCGTCGCGCTGTCGGCCGTTCAGAACGCGGCTGGCGCGTGCACCTCGACGGCCGCGGGCCCTGGTCGCCGGAGGGCCGCGGGGGGCCGCGGAACTGGGCCGGCGGCCGCCAGGCGTGCGGGGCAGGCTGGTGTTCGGGGGGTCGGCCCCCCCGCGGCGTCTGGCCGCGCGAGGGGGGGGATCGGCGTGCGAGGCCGCCGCCCTCGGCGACGGCCGCGCGCAGCCGTGCGAGACCTACTTCGGCGCGTTCCGCAGGTTGGTCGCGAACGAGGTGCGGATGCCCTTCCCGTCCACCGCCTCGGCAGTGTCGAACCTCCTCCTGGACTGCCTGGATGTGCTGCTGGAGGAAGGGGGCGAGTGCGAGGGCGCCGAGAAGGTGGTCGTTGCTGTCAAGCACCACATGTTCATGGTGCCAGGTGTCAGCGTCTTGTGAAGACTGGCCAGGGCGCTGAAGGGCCCCAGGAAAAAACGCCCCCTTCGGTCGTCGAGGGCCCCGATCCTGAGGCTCGTGATGGCCGTCCTCGTGACCGTCGTCAAGTGCCGGGGCCTCCGCGACCTGGCGCTGATGCTGCCGATGTCCTGGGTCGCTTGCCTCTGACCAGGGGGGGCGCGAGGCCCAGAGGTGAAGGGCCTCGTCGCTCCCGTGGACCAAAGGAGGCGCCGCGGCCAGCAGTCGGCTCTCGACCGCTGGTCCATCGTGGTTGCGCCGCAGGAGGACTGCGCGCTCAGCGTGGCGGTGGCCTTCGACGACGCGATCGCCCTCGACTCGCCGAGCTGGGCGGGCCCTGCCTTGAGGGGGGCGGCAGGTCGCCGGGCCGGCGAGGACCTGCTCCTGCCGGTCGAGGCGGGGTTGGCGGTCAGCGCGTTCGCGGCCGCCGCGATGCCCCTCGGGCTGCCCAGACTATGCCTCGACCAGCTGCGACGCGGAGGCGCGTCTGGGGACCTCCTCGCCAGGGCGAGGGGGCTCTCAGACATCGCGGCCCGCGGTCGCTGGCGGTCGGGGGCTTCGGTTCGACGGTGCGCGAAGGCGGGGCAGGTGCAGAAGCTGCTCCGCGCGCTGTCGAGCGACGCCATGCTATTCTGCGAGTGGGCCGACGAGAACCTGCAGGGGGCCATCGAGGGCGCGGTGGCGCCCAAGCTCCCAGCGGGGGGCTTCGCAGGGCCATAGGCGGCCGGCGTTGCGGCGTCGTGCGCCGTTCGCCGGGGGCCGACGCGTCGCTCGCGAGTGAGCCCCAGCCAACCGAGTTCTCACCGCGCTATTAGGATCTCTGATATTCTGCCAACCAAGACGTGATGAATCTGAGCGAACAATCAGTGCTCCCAGTCCCCCCTCCCAGTTCATGATCTGGGCGTGGGCCCAGCTGTGCGTGCCTGATCCGCGCGCCAGGACGGCGCCTCGCACATGTGTGGTCATCCACCTCAGAGTTTGAGAGCGTTGCCCAGTGCCCGTGGGGAAATGCGTTTGCGCGCTTTCGATCGTCTAGCGTCGCCTGAGGGTTGGAGGCTAGCAGGTGATTTTTCAATTTGTAGAGTTATCATGTTCGCTTGGGCCTCCTGGAAGCAGGAGATGTGACCTTCTCTATTCGGTCGGAAGAGCCAAAATGTCACCTGCAGACCGGTGCCCTTTTGCAGTCGGCTCGGAGAGTAAAAAGGGCACCGGGCAGACTACTTGCGCAGAGTCGTCTTCTTTGCGCGAATCCATTTATCATTGCGCGTATTTGGCTGGTGACCTTCCCTTGTCGGCCGAAAGGGGACATAGGTCGCCGGCGGACCGGTGCCCTTTGGTAGTCGGCTCGGAGGGTAAAGAGGGCATTGGGCAGACTTTGCAGACCTGTTGTGATTGCCAGAGCCTCCTGATCCCGGGACTCTTTTGGTTCAAGTTTCTTTTTCTGGCCCTTCCTCCCTGTCCCTTCTTCTCCTCTCAAGCCCAGCTGTTCGACTGCCGTCGCCTGAGGGTTGGAAACCGGCAAGTGATGAGGACGTCGCTGATGATGGTGATGCTGCTGATGGCGACGGTGATGATGACGATGATGCTGATGATGGTGCTGATCATGCTGATGATGACGATGATGACGGCGATGATGCTGATCATGATGAGTCTGACGTCGGTGCTGCTGATGATGATGCTGATGCTGATGCTGAAGATACGAGTGATGACGATGACGACGATGACGGTGCTGACGATGATGCTGATGATGGTGCTGATCATGCTGATGATGACGATGATGACGGCGATGATGCTGATCATGATGAGACTGACGTCGGTACTGCTGATGATGATGCTGATGCTGATGACGATGACGACGATGACGGTGCTGACGATGATGCTGATTATGGTTATTACCGTGACGATGATGATGGCGATGCTGGTGCTGATAATGATGATGGTTGTGATGGTGATGGTGCAGATGCTGATGCTGATGCTGATGATGATGACGACGATGATACTGATAATGTGGATGGCGATGATAATGGTGACGACGATGATGACGATGATGATGACGATGCTGATGATGATGATTATGATGATGATGGTGATGATCTTGCGAACGATGCTGCTGCTGATGATGATGATGATGCTGATGTTGACGATTCGGATGCTGATAATGATGATGGTGATGATGATCATGACGATGGTGAGTATGTCGATGATCATGGTGTTGGTAATGATGACGGTGCGTTCGATGACGATGAGGCTGATGATGATGATGGAAATGCTTTGGATGCTGATGACGATTCTGAGGATGCCTGTGTTGCTGTCGATGATGGTGATGATGATGATGATGCTGATGATGATAATGACGTTAAGGGTGCGGACGGTGAGACTGCTGATGACGATGATGATGATTGTGGCGGGTGATGCTGAAAATGATACTGGTGATGCTACTGATGATGATGTGAATGATGACGACGATGATGATGCTGATTCTGATTCTGCTGACGATGATAATGCCGATGAAGATGCTTATGATGCCGACGATGGTAATGAGGATGCGGTGGGGGGAAATGGTGATGAAGATGATGCTGCTGAGGATGATGATGACGATGGTGCTGACGACGATGACGTTGATGATGAAGTGTATGGCGATGATAATGGTGATGACGATGATAACGACGATGATGACGATGCTGATGATAATGATGATGATGGTGATGATGATGATGATGATGATGGTGATGATCTTGCGAACGATGCTGCTACTGATGATGAAGATGCTGATGATGACGATTTGGATGCTGATGATGATGGCGATGATGATCATGACGATGGTGAGTTTGTCGATGATGATGGTGGCGGTAATGATGACGGTGCGTATGATGACGATGAGCCTGATGTTGATGATGATGATGGTGATGATGATGGTAATGCTTTGGATGCTGATGACGATTCTGAGGATGCCTGTGCTGATGTCGATGATGATTATGCTGATGATGACGTTGAGGTCGCGGACGATGAGACTGCTGATGACGATGATGATGATTATGGCGAATGGTGCTGAAAATGGTACTGGTGATGCTGCTGATGATGATGTTAATGACGACGATGATGATGCTGATTCTGATTCTGCTGATGATGATCATGCCGATGACGATGCTTATGATGCCGATGATGGTGGTGAGGATGCGGTGGGTGATAATGATGATGAAGATGATGATGCTGAGGATGATGATGACGATGGTGCTGAGGATAGCGATGACGATGATGATGACGATGCTGATGATATTGCTGATGATGATGGATATGCTGGTGTTGCCGGTTGTGAAGATGCTGATGAACCTGCTGGTGATGATGATGCATACGGTGATGACGATGATGATGATGATGATGATGATGATGATGATGATAATGATGATAGTGATGATGCTGATCATGGCGATGACGCTGATGATGATGACGATGAGGATGGTGATGACGATTCCGATGATGATGACGTTGTGTTGGTGATTTTGCTGGTGATGCTGATGATGGTGATGACGCTGATGATGATGAGCCGGAGGACGATAATGCTGATGACGATGAGGATGATGATGATGTTTCAAATGCTGATCATGCCGACGATGATGCTGATGATGATGCTGCTGATGATGCTCATGATGATCATGATGTTGACGATGATTCTGATGACGGCGATGATGATGCGTCTGAGCTGATGCCTTCGATGATGGGGATGGCGATGATATCGAGGATGGTGATGCTAGGGGTGATGGTATCGATGGTGATGCGATGTTGGTGATGACGCTGATGTTGCTATGGCTGATACTGATGGTGACGATGGTCATGATGATGCGAATAATGATGATGCAGATGATGATGCCGATGTTGATGTTGATGCTGATGGTGCCGATGGTGATGCTGCTGTCTTAGGTAATGATGATGATACTGCTGATGATGATGGTGATGATGATGATGATCTTGATGACGATGATGATGATGCTGATCATGAATATGATCATGATGATGCTGCTTACGCTGCTGATGATGAGGACGATGATCATGATTGCGATGGTGGCGGTGATCATGATGATGGAGCTGGTGATGACAAGGATGGTTATGATGTGTATGCAGAGAATGCTGATGATGCCGATGCTGATGATACTGATTGTGATGATGGTGGTGATGACGTTCTCGATTATGATGGTGATGACGAGGATGATGCTGATGTTGTTGACGACGATGATGGTGGTGATGATACTGATGATTGTGATCACGATCGTGAGGATACTTATGATGATGACGACGACGAGGTCGATATTGAACATGATCACGATCATCATGCTGATGGTGCTGATGCTGTTCATGATGATGACGATGATGGTAATGAAAATGCAGATCAGGATGGTGATGATACCAGATGATGATGATGACGATGATCATGATGATGATGGCGATGATCATGACGATGATGATGACGATGATGATGATGATGATGATGATGATGATGGTGGTGGTACTGAGGACGACGATGGTGATGACGACGGTGGTGATTCCCGTGATGCTGGCGATGACGGAAATCCTATGCTGATGGGGATACCCATGATGACGAACATCATGATGATGCTGATGGTGCTGATGCTGCTGATGATGCTGATGATGTTATGATGGCGATGATGCTGGTGATGCTGATGATGATGCGAATGGTATTGGTGGTAATGATGATGCTCATGATGGTGACGCTGATGATGCCAACAATGATGATGATGGTGGTGATGGTGATGATGATTTTGACGATGATGATGAGGATGATGACAATAAGGATGATGATGACGATGTCGACGACGATGATGTCGGTGGCTATGATGATAATGCTGGTGATGTTGACGATGATGATGACGATGATGAGGATGATGACGATACGCATGATGATGATGATGATGATGATGATGATGATGATGATGATGATGATGATTACGCTGATGATGGTGACGACGACCATGATGATGATGGTTATGATGAAGCTGTTTTTGCTTATGATGATGATTGTGGTGGTGGTGGTGAATCTGATGAGGATGGCGATGATGATGGTGATGATGACGATGATGATTTTGGTGATGAAGATGATGATGCCGATGATGGTGATGCTGATGATGGTGACGATGACGTTGATGATGATGATCATGATGGTGGTGATGCTGATGATGTTTGTGGTGCTGAGGGTGATCATGATGGTGATGATGCTGATGATAGTAATTCTGAACGTTGTGATGATGCTGATGATGATGCTGATGCTAATGAATATGATGATGATGATGATGGCGATGATTGTGGTGATGATGTTGATGGCGATGATGAGGATGACGATGCTGATGCTGACGACAATGATGATGATCTTGTTGATGCTGCTGATGGCGATGTTGCTGATGATGATGAGGACCATGACGATGGCGATGTCTATAATGATGATGATGAGGATGATGACGATGACCATGATGATGATGATGATGATGATTATGATGAAAACGACGATTCTTTTGATGATGGCACGACCATGGTAGGGGTGATGATGATGATGATGCTGATGACGATGTCGATGATGCTGATGATGCTGCTGCTGATGATGGTGATGACGACGACGGTGACAAGGATGACGACGATGATGCTGGTGGTGCTGATGATGATGATGATGCTGATGATGTTGATGCTGCTGATGATGCTGATTATGCTGCTGG